AGAGAGAGAGAGAGAGAGAGAGCATGTTTGACTAAGCTTAAAATCCAATTAAAATTGAAAATATAGCTATTATTGGGTCCCACCCGTCTTTAATAAAAGTTAACAATAACGGCTAGTTTTTCAATTTTAATCCGATTTTAATCTCTACCGAACAAGCTCATAACAAATAAATCAACCGAAGGAACCAAAACATAAAGAGAAGCCTAAGCTCTAGGTCGGTGTGGTGTAGATGAGCCCCAGGAGCAAAGCGTTCTTGCTCGTTCCTTGGTTGGAAAGGGCAAAGGTCCATTAATGTTGAGGTGATCGAAGGACTGTGTCAACCAAGGTTGCTTGCAAAAATCAAATGACTATGATTTAGGAGGAGTCAGACCTAACTTGCTCTCAAAAGTATTCTAATGTACTCCGAGTTTTCTGCTGCCCCATGAGTGTAAATGGAGTCTGCAGGAGCCAGGAGTGGAAGTAGAGTGGTTTTTCTTGACCTTCTCCTCGGGTCTTCCTCTTGCAATCAAGACAGGCAAATAGGCAGAAATTGGTACACTTTTAGTACGGTGGTATGCAAGCAGCAAAACAGTATGCAATCTATAAATACGAGCAAGTTCACTCATCATAGTACAGTAAATAAGCACAAGCAGCATATATATATAAATATATATTTCCTCTCCAGTTCTTAACATTATCATCATTGACCTCTGTTCCTTGAAAAAAATACCTGGATCGATTGTACCTTATGTTACTTCATGGAGCTTGTCTTGGATTTTATTTCTTGATCAGTCCCCAGTATATAACATTTGTTGCTGAATTCTCTCTCTGATCGTATTGGTGCTTGCTTATTGGTTCATAAATTCCAGGTGGCCAAAGAGAGTGCTGATGTTATAATTCTAGATGATAATTTCTCTACCATTGTTACTGTGGCAAAATGGGGGCGCTCAGTTTACGTGAATATTCAGAAATTTGTTCAGTTTCAACTTACGGTGAATGTGGTTGCTCTTGTTGTCAATTTCTCTTCAGCCTGCTTGACGGGTAAACACACCGATCTCCATGTTAGGTTTCTCTTGTTCAATATGACTAATGTAATGTGTTTTATTTAGGTTTCTGATCTGCTGTGGTGACGTCTTTTCAGGCAATGCTCCACTAACGGCGGTTCAGCTTTTATGGGTCAACATGATCATGGATACTCTTGGTGCACTAGCCCTGGCCACTGAACCTCCCAATAACGACTTAATGAAGAGATCACCTGTTGGAAGGAAAGGAAACTTCATCAGCAATGTGATGTGGCGGAACATCTTGGCACAGTCTGCTTATCAATTTGTTGTCATATGGTATCTTCAAACATCAGGAAAAACAGTCTTCAACCTTGATGGCCCTGATTCCGATTTGATTCTTAACACACTAATTTTCAACACATTCGTTTTCTGCCAGGTAATTCTCAAGGAACAACAACAATTACCTTTACTTCAATGGTTTTCCCCAAATTTTTGTCAGTTACAGTGAAAATGACTATTTCCATGAAATTAATTGGGTTCACAAGAACATAGTTAATTTCACTAGTAGTAATAATATCACCTCTTAACTTCTGAGTTGCTAAATAGATGTTACTTTCAGAAAATTGTATAGATCTTTGTTTTGCTTGCAGGTTTTCAACGAAATAAGCTCGAGGGATATGGAGAAGATCAATGTGTTCAAAGGGATACTGGAGAACTATATTTTTGTGGTGGTTCTGAGTTGCACAGCTCTATTCCAAATCATCATCATCGAATTCCTTGGTACTTTTGCCAACACGCACCCTCTCACTTGGCAGCAATGGGCTGTGAGCTTTCTGCTTGGATTTCTTGGAATGCCAATTGCTGCTGCTGCAAAGATGATCCCAGTGGGATCAAGATGAAATCATAGTGGAAAATAAGTTACTTCCTATCTATATATATGTTCTCAGAATCCCATCGGATCCATGAAGGATGATCGTTTTCCCCATCTTCAAACTTTACAACCATAAAATTGGAGACCTATAATGCAACAACTGCTCAGGAAGGTTGACAATTTATGAGTTATATGCATGCTGTACTCTTTTCAGATAATTTCGGTTTAAGTATGTTGACTCGACTGACTAGAAATTTCGACTTACTTAGTGAAGGAATCAGGATTGTTACTGTGTCCTGTAACTTTTTGGTGTTAACCAATGAAATTCTACTAATTGCTGTCATCATTCATTTATCTTTTCGCAATTATTTTTATTCTATTGGTAATCCTGACTTCATTTCCTGTTATGAAAAATATGGGACAATGTTGGCTTGCGAGCGACTAAATTGTAATTGAAAAAATTGTAGCTAAAAATGAATATAAATATTTATGTGGTTCATCCAATTTAGGTTAGTCCACAGGCAAATATAAGAGCATTTCATTGTAGTAGAAAAAAATTACAATAGTCTTTTTTCTAAATACAAGGAGAGAACAATTAATCTATTTTGTAATGGGGGAAATTAAGTAGAAAACACTCAGGAGAATTATTTTCTCTATAATTTTATCTGTTCCTCTAATCACTATTTTTCTCTCTACCATATAATAGACAATTCACTTTAGCAAATTGTTATGTATTTCTCTTTAGCTGCTGCCTCTTATTTATAAGGAAGATACTACATGGAGTACTACATGGGTTACTACATGGCCAAGTGGCTAGGGTGCCGCCACTTTAAGTTTTTATGAGTTTATTTTTTTGGAAATATTCAAAATTCAACTTATATGTAGTGTTATTATTTTTAGCCCTGTTTGATTCCATTTACTTCAACTTTATTTATTTTTTTATATTCATTTCCAACTACACATATACAATAAAATATTATACTCGTAAATAAAAAACTTTTTCTTATTTTTAAACCGGCATTCTCCAAAAAATACTATTCAAATCATAATTTTTTTAAAAATTAAATGCCTTCAAACAGGAGCTTAGTGTTATATGGTTAGGATGGCCGAGTTTTACCATGGTTTAATAAATTTATCATTTGACTCAAACTTTGGGGTAATTAAAACAAAACGTCCTTATCGTTTGCACTCATTGTGCAAATTATCATTATCATCTCAAACTTGATATTTGCACTCTCATTTCATTATTTTATTATGGAGTTGGTTATTCTTATCTCGGACAATTCCTTCCGTCAAATATGGGCAATTTGACTAATTTACCCTTCTCTTTAAATAAACATATAAAAAAAAGAGAAAAAAATAATGTAAAAAGAAAAAAATTGCATTCAAAGTCCTAAAATTTTCAAATAGTGCAAACGAGTTCTACTTAAAATAATTAAAAGCATATTAACAAAAAAAAAATAATAATAATCTTCCCCAAATTATGAAAGATGAGGTCCAAATTGTCAAGTTTGGAAGATGGAGGACCACAATGCAAATAAGAAAAGATGTGAGACGAACCAAAAAGGAGAATCAAAGGCCAACTTATAATGGAATACTTTGTCATTGCAATGCGTAAGAGGAACGATCGTAAGTGTACAACAATAATCACCACCATGTATAATCAGTACATTGTGCAACCGCAACTACATCAGCCATGCTATTGTAATGTGTAAACCGGTTGGTTCCATATTTCTTTCCTACTTCAAGTTAACCTCTACATGAAATTAGTTTGAGGCTGAAATTTTGACCTGGTTAGGAAACTATAAATACATATATCATCAACCTTTAAGGGGTTACACAATTTAGGGAGTGAAAACACGTCATCAATCACAAGAATCAAGAATTTCACATGGATTTTAGGACTTAGAAGGTGGAAGATCTTTATTATACTAGGAAATGTTGCAAAGGAGATTTGTTGTTGGGATTCATAGGGAGAAGATCAACAATTTGTTTGTGTAATCAACAATTTATTTGTGTTCATTCTTCCCTATTATTATAAGGGATAATTGCAGCAAATGCCCCAAACCTTTCAGATTTTTGCGCATTTACCCTAACCTTTGATTTATGCCAGGGAAGATCCCAAACCTTTCAAAAATATGCACCGGAGGTCCATCTGGACGGATTCCGTCCAGTTGACCGTTAGTCAACAAAAAAATGTCAAAATTGATTCAATTTTGAATAAAGTAAAAAGGGCAAAATGGTACTTTCTCTATTAATATATTCCCAAATATTAATAATAATTAAAAAACAATTAAACTAAAAACAAAAAAAACCCCAACCCAACCCACCCGACCCCACCTTACCTTCTTCCCCACGCTGTTCACAGCCAACCGCCACCCGTTGTTCATCAAATAATCAGCCTCCACACCCGGCAACCACCCCACCACAGCCTCCAGGCCAACAACCACTCCCCTACCCCGATTAACAGTCCAACCAAATCCTCAAAACATAGCACTGATCTTTTTACTGGGTCGACCTGTCTCACCTGAAGCCATGGCTGCATTGTCGAACTTGCCAGGCAAATGGCGGAGTCAAGAGGGAAGTAAACGGGGTTTACGGGGCTGCACCTGAGTGGAGAAAATTTTCGATTTGGGGAAGAATCGAGTTATTACAATAGCAAAAGGATGAGGATTGATGCTGTAATTTTTCCTACAACAAACTATTGAAAAAAA